TTCACTGGTTTGCTAGTATATATATATATATATATACATACAGATGGAGCTAAACACGTTTCACTTCAGTCGTGTAGTCATAAGCACAATAATAATAATAATAATAATAGCCTCGATAAACACCTTAAGAGGCTAGCGTTAGGTGGTTGGGTCAAGAGTCAGATGCAGAAGGCAGTACTTCTGGACACGGCCCGTATTGTGAGGAGGTTCCTGTCTCTGGATCCTTAACCACCGGTAGCAGGGACCCTGATCTTGCTGCCGATGGGGAACTACATTTTTGTATTTTTAAATGTTATTTTTTTAATGTTATACGCTGTAATAAACTAATATTTAGAAATATAATTTTGTATGTATATTTAATGAAACAAAGGAATAATAATAATAAGTATTTTTATTTTATAAGAATTTAACTGCTACATGTTTAAATCTTAAGGAAATATTACTAGAAAAAAAAACCACGCTCATGGTTTTATATTATTTATTTAACTAATCATATTACAATTGCACAATGAGATTCATATTCCTATGTTCAAGTGGAACAAAAATGAAACATAGTACTTAACATATAAACTCTTAACTCTTGTATCACATTAAACTAACAGAGTTAACATTGTAAATTCATCATCATCAACAGCCTATCTTGGTTTCCTGCTGGACATAGGCCTCTCCAATGAGGGCTACCGTTTTCTGCCTCACCAGATGGCGCCACTGTTGAGTGAGGTCCTAAATTGTAACTTTTAAAGTTTATTAATACGCACATGAAATCAAAGGTTACATTAAGATCGTATTTTAACACAAAAGAACCATATCCTAAACATAATAGGCCATGCCACAGTGACGCGCAGTTCCGTTTTATTCGGAAAAAATGGGAACATAATCATTTTTCTAAGCTCAATTTTTTAATAACTGACATTCATTGCCACATAACTCATATTTGCCATAATTAAGCCGAATTGTTACCAATTATTCACAACATTATTTTAATTAGAAATAAACCCGCGTAGTCAACCAACAAGCAATAACATTTGACATTTCGGAGACCTCACGCTACACTAGCGCCTCTAGCGGCGGATTCATACGCGATAGCCCTCATTGCACGCCACTCAGATCGATCTTGGGCTACTCGCATCCAGCTCCTGCCAGCCACCTTGCGCAAATCGTCACTCCATCATGCCTGAAGATGTCCTACACTACATTTGCCTAGACGCGGTCTCCACTCCAGAACTCGTCTACCCCAACGGTTATCGGTTCTTCGGCAAATATGGCCAGCCCACTGCCACTTCAACTTGCTAATCCGGTGGGCAATGTCGATAACTCTGGTTCTCTGTCGGATTACCTCATTTCTGATGCGATCCTTCAGAGAAACGCCGAGCATAGGCCTTTCCATAGCGCGCTGAATGACTTTGTACCTGTGGACCAGCCGTACCGTCAGTGTCCACGTCTCGGCTCCGTATGTAACACAATAGGGGTGATGACGGGATACAGTAAACGAAATTCTATTTAGTCCATCAGTTAGATGATCAAAAAATAATGGACACGTATTTTTTCTTTGGGCGATCAACCAAAAAATGACAAAGTTATAGCGCGTCAAAGTTCGGGAGTAGGGGCTCGTGACGTCACTTTTGAGTGAATTTTCCCTTATAAGTGTACTCAAACGTGACGTCATGCGACTTTTCAAATCAATATATCTCTGCAATGTTTATATTATGTGAAAAAAGAAAAAATACGTGTCCAATACTTTCTGATAATCTACCTGATAAACGAAGAAAAAAGAATTAGTCATCATCCCTATTATTAATATAAATCAATATAAAATCAAATCACAAATGATTACAATTATTATAAGTAAGAGGCGAGACTCGGAGCTCTGTCCTTACAATCTTGTAGAATTTACTTAGCTCACGACTTATCGCGACTATGATCACAGCTGAACTGACTGCTTGTCCAGGGATCTGCATTATTTATGCAAAGAAATGGTTAACAAAAACACTCCTACACATTTCGGGGAAATGGCACAAACAATTATCTTAATAGTTAAGGAATAGAAGGTTTACAATAGGTTGTATGGCTTACAAATAAAATGAACATTATCTTAATGTATATGTTTCTTAGGTTTTCACGCACATCACTCATTAAATAAAACTAGTTTTAACGGGTTAATGCACGTAACTTTATTTATTTATTAACGTTTTGCAGCCTTTTCAGGTCTGCATCGTCAGAATAATGATTTTTTATTTAATTTTGTCGTGCTACAAAATGCTAAAATCTTCCAATGAAATAACCGAACGCTCAATAAGTCTTTCGAAGGTAGCTTGACAAAATTAAATAAAAAATCATTATTCTGACGATGCAGACCTGAAAAGGTTGCGAAACGTCAATAAATAAATAAAGTTCCGTGAATTAACCCGTTAAAAATAAATTACTTAATGGCTAAGGATGAATACTTAACCTAAACAACAATACAATACAATGTAAAAGAAGGGTAATAAAATATTAAGGCTATACAATACAAAAGAAATAAGTGATAAGTATTTATTATAAATGGGTTTCTGAAAATATTTACAATAGTAGGTAATGATTTTGGGATCGTCGAAGGCGTCCAGATGGCTGACCCCGGGTGTACTCCGTAATATATACCAGTATACTGGCCAGTGCTAATGACGTCATGAATCGAGGCTATAATGGTGTATTGTTCCGAAATATACTGGCCAGTGCACTGACGTCATAAATCAACGAAATATTAAAAAAATAGTGCGAATAAAGAACATTTTTATTCACCTCATCAATTGAAAGGAATTCTTTAAGTTCGGATGCCATTGGTGTCGATTCTAGCATGATTCTCTAAACCTAAACTTAAATTTGACAGCAGTATATCCTTGTCGTTCTCTATACAGAATGAAAAGGAGAGACTGATGTTAAATTTAGTTTTAAGTTTAGAGAATCACGCCAGAATTGGCATCATTATTGTTCTTTAAATAAATAAAATTAAGGTACAAAAACCTTTTTAAAAACAAGCTTTTATTCAAATGCGTTAAAAAGAAAAAAAGAAAATTTAGTTAAAGTTTGTTTCTAAATAGATTTTCAAATTTTAGAAGTCCGCCATATTGGATTGAGAGTGACGTCACATTTTTTTCGAGTTACTCTCAGCAAGCCCTTTAATTTGATACCCATATTGTAGGAATGCATTAAAAATGATTGGTCCGCCATTTTGGGTATGCCGCCATATTGGATTTAGAATGACGTCACACTGTTAAGCATGCATTGTCATCCGAACTGAACGAGCATACCAAATTTCAGCTTAATCGGTTAGGGGGGGGGGGGGGGGGGGCAGGTTCCAGTCGGGATTCGAACCCGTATATTCCGCCCCTTTTATTTAGGTTTTTTGGGTTCCGTAGCCAAATGGCATAAAACGAAACCCTTATGGATTCGTCATGTCTATATGACTCCGTCCTGTCCGTCCGTATATCACAGCCACTTTTTTCCGAAACTTTAGGAACTATACTGTTGAAACTTGGTAAGTAGATGTATTCTGTGAATCGCATTAAGATTTTCAAACAAAAATAGGAAAAAATGACAAGAAATTTTGGTAAAACCCCATAGTTAGAACTGAAACTCAAATTTTTTTTTATCAATCTCGTGTATACGTGTAGGGTATCTGTGGATAGGTCTTCAAAAATGTTATTAGGGTTTCTAATATCATTTTTTTTTCTAAACTGAATAGTTTGCGCGAGAGACACTTCCAAAGTGGTAAAATGTGTGCCCATTCTAAGGGTGCGGCCAGAGTGCACTCAGATTCAGATTCAGATTCTGAAAACAAGCGCGAGAAATAAACAGTGTAGTCGAAGGGTACGGCCAGAGTGCACTCCTGATTCAGATTCAGATTCAGACTCAGAAAAGAAAAAACGAGAAAAAGCAGGCAACCTGCTTAGACTACACTGTTTATTTCTCGCGCTTGTTTTCAGAATCTGAATCTGAATCTGAGTGCACTCTGGCCGCACCCTAAAATACGACACTGATAAAACTAAAAAAAAAAAAAAAATGATGTACATTGCAAACTTCCACTTCCACCGAAAATTGGTTTGAAGGAGATCTAGTAAGTAGTTTTTTAATAATCATAATCATAATCAATCATAATCAAAATCATTTATTCAGTTTAGGCTGTTACAAGCACTCATGAATGTCTAGGAGCTACGCCATCGGTTCGTAAATCTACGGCGTGAGACCTTGTACTGAGAAGAACCGGCAAGAAACTCAGCAAGGGCTGTTTTTTTCTCCCTGTTTTATTATTTACAGAGTCGTCAAATTGAAAAATGACTTCAGAGGTGATTCATGACGTCACTTTTCATTACATAATTATTAAATATACATTAATTGTTTACCTGCATTTTGATTGCTGTCATACAGTATAAATACAAATAGTGTTATTTATATTCAGTGTAGTACGTCAGTGTAATACGTCATATATCATAAACCGCAGTTTACCTTTCATTCAATCAACTAAATAAATAAATAATACAATATTATTAAAACATCAATCAAAGTTACAGCTACAAGTACTTTCATATTATAGTTATGATTTTATTTATTTTTTAAGTATTTAACTGCTAGATGTTTAAATCTAAAGAAAAGTTTACTAGAAAAAAATCCAAGCGGACCAGGCAGCGGACGGGACTCGAACCCGCATCCTTCGCTATCCGGGCGAATGCACTGACCATTATGCTACCACGGCACGGCCCTATTAGCCGCGTCGAAATTTTCCTAGCCTGAAGCTGCAAGGCAGCGCCATCTCTTCGCATTGTAGGTAACCCACAATGTCAAATGAATACTTTTTCAAGTATTAAACATTTGAAAGAAGAAATAGCAATTATAGTTATGATTTTAATAATATAAATATATATATAGCGGCTAATAGGGCCGTGGTAGCATAATGGTCAGTGTATTCGCCCGGATAGCGAAGGGTGCGGGTTCGAGTCCCGTCCGCTGCCTGGTCCGCGTGGATTTTTTTCTAGTAAACTTTTCTTTAGATTTAAACTTTCATATTATGTTAATTGCTGCTACGGAACCCTTCATGGGCATTCGGACTTCAGTAAATTTGAATTTAGCTCTGCATTGATGAGCCAATCAGGCGTCAAATATATTTTCATTTAGGCATAGTAAATTCGTAGTTCTTCATTATTTCCTATAATCATGTAAGGATACGCAGTTCTTGGTATCACATTTCCCACAGTTGTGTCCTTGGAAGATTATTTTGTCGTTATTAGCGCCTGGAAGAACAATGGCAAATTTAACACATATTGGGAAACATTTATCACTAGCGGCCGCCCGAGACTTCGTACGTGTGGAGTTAGTTAGAAATAAAGGTTCACTGCTCGGTCCCCAAAGGTGATAGAGTGATAATATGAAATGAAATGAAATGAAAAGTCATTTATTCAGTCTAGGCTGTTACAAGCACTTGTGAAGGTCAAGAACCTTCTTTTTTTTTTTATAGATAGATCCGACAAATGACTCCACCCCACCTGATGTTAAGTGAAGGTGAAGTCCAGACGTGAAGATAGCTGATACAGCAGTTCTACCTGCCACACCAGCCATCCTCACCCTGCCGGCCTGCATGTTGCTTCTTCACGCCTCTTTTAAAGGATCCCAGGTTGTAAGAGGGAGGGAACACGTGAGCGGGCAGAGCATTCCATTTACGGATAGTACGACAAAGAAATGATTCACCAAATTTCTTTGTACGCGTTGGAATTGTGGCCACAGTTAGACGGTGACAACATAAGCCAGCGCTCGTGGTCCTCTGAAGGAAAGGGGAAGGTGGAATAAGAGAGAATAACTCCTCAGAGCACTCGCCGTGGTACAGACGATAGAACGCGCTTAGTGACGCCACGTCACGGCGTAATTGAAGAGGCTCAAGGTGTTTAGTCACCTCCTCCATCCATACGCTACGCCATCGGTTCGCAAAACTACGGCGGGAGAACTTGTACTGAGAAGAACCGGCAAGATAATTATGTACAGACTAGTGATGTAACGAATATTCGCATTCGCATTCGCGAATATTCGCATATTTTTGAATATTTGCATTCACATTCGCATTCGCAAAATCTCTGCGAATGTTTTGCGAATATGAATATTACAAAAAAACAATTTGAAGAAGTTTCAGTTCTGCCTTTCCTTGAATATTCATTGTTACACAGTTTGCATTTAGCTCGTTCAGCATCGCAAAGTGTGAAATAAGTCCATGTTTCACTAGAATTCGATTTACTCATGTTGATGAATCACTATTACCACTCAGTCACTAACCTCAAAATTCACTTGTTTTGTTTACGGAAAGACCGGTGCGAGCGGAATGACACTTCAGTCGGATAAGTTCATATCAACTCGGCAATTCGAACGAGACTGCCACCATGCCATACACAATTGGCGCCACAGAACACAGAAAGAGATTAGAAGGCTCTTCAGAGACATTTTGTACGGGAACCGATGTCGCCGGCTCGCCCGCACTACACTTACACCTAATAGATATTAGCCAATCAAACGCCGTGACATCAAACAATCGAACCAATCGGCGCTCACACCCGAGCGCAACAAACCAATCGTTACCAAGTTTTGGTCAAGTTATGAGCATTTGCTCACAACTAACTGTGGCGCGCCTGCCCCGCCCACATGGCCATTCTAATATCTTTCTGTGTTCTGTGATTGGCGCTAATTTAAAAAAATCTAAATATTCGCATTGGCATTCGCGAATGTCGATACCAGACATTCGCATCCGCATTCGCGAATGTTAAAAAAATGGCATTCGTTACATCACTAGTACAGACCCATCTTTCCCAGTGGGTACTTTGGGCAAGTGCCCAGGGCCCCGCGATCGATAGGCCCCCCCCCTCAGATCAAATACAAAGTCCCGAGTTCCTGTTAAAACACCAAACGGAAGTCATAGGGGCCCCATTATCCTAATATGCCGAGGGCCTCCAATAGGTCAAAGACGGCACTGAATATGTAGCCTATATGTTGACCCGATGGAGGAGGAGGAGCTCGATGGCGCAAGTGGTTAGCGCGATCAGCTGCGATCGTTGAAGTTAAGCAACTTTCGCAGTGGTCGGTCATTGGATGGGTGACCAAAAATTTACTATCTCGAGTTCCTCCGTGCTTCGGAAGGCACGTTAAGCCGTTGGTCCCGGCTGCATCTGCAGTCGTTAGCACCCACCAATCCGCACTGGGCCAGCGTGGTGGGTCATGGCCCTATCTCCCTATTCCATCCATAGGGAAGGCCTGTGCCCCAACAGTGGGGACATTAATAGGCTGATGATGATGTTGACCCGACTTCTTAATAATATACGTGCCAAATTTGAAGTAAATCCATGCAGTACTTTTTGAGTTTATCCCGGACATACATACAGACAAACAGATGAAAACTATATTTTTGGCTTCGGTATCGATTGTAGATCACACCCCAAGTATTCTTTTAAATATATATTCAATGTACAGTTTTGACTTTCCTACCATTTTATTATATGTACAGATTTCTAAGAGAGGTTTTGTCGCTAGAATTGGAGCGCTCGCCTGAGGAAGTAACTTCCACCTTACTATGGTGGTTAGCGCGTTTGGCTGCGATCGTTGAAGTTAAGCAACTTTCGCACTGGACGGTCATTGGATGGGTGACCAAAAATCTTCTATCTCGAGTTCCTCCATGCTTCGGAAGGCACGTTAAGCCGTTGGTCCCGGCTGCATCTGCAGTCGTTAGCACCCGCCAATCCGCACTGGGCCCGCGTGGTGGGTCATGACCCAATCTCCCTATCCCATCTATAGGGAAGGCCTGTGCCCCAGCAGTGGGGACATTAATAGGCTGATGATGATAATGATGAAAACGACCATCATAGCCTACTGCTACTATAGTTAATTTAAATATAACTAACCTTACAACTCCCTTGTTTCTATTACACTGACATTTCCCTTCAGCGCTGGAATCTTTCACCAAACTTCTGTTATAAGGGCTATTATTGTTCGCCGCAACTCTGTTACAATCTATCTTAGTGGTAGTGACAACTTTAAACTGATCGGTGCGTAAATCTCTTGATAACACGTTAACTGTGAAATTTCCACATTTAGAAGGATTCGCTTCAGCCTTTTTCGGCTTTTCGCAATTGTTTCCCCCATCAACGTCAATTATTTTTTTATCGATTGTAATTTTTCTTTCGTTTACATCAACGAAGACTGGTTCAGCTTTCGCTTCATCTGCAATTTCATCTTTGGTTTCAATTAAAGCTGGCGCTACTGAATTTTCAACAATTTCCACATCTTCATCGATGCCAACATTGTGTTCCTCTAGATGGATATCTGGTTCATTTTTGTCTGCGAGCATTGCTGCAGTATAACTGTCCTCTTTCCTTCCTGGATCAGTCAATTCTAGTCCTTTAACGTCATCAATGTCACCTTTCTGTTCGTTTAGATCACCTAAAGCTGGTTCACCTTTCCCTCTGTCTGTAGTTTTATTATTGTAATAATTACGATTGGTTTTTATTAGACACACTGGTACAGGTCTGTCTACATGTATGACAACGTCATCAGATTTTTCGTCTTCATCTGAATCTATTATTTCAATGGCACTGTTATGTTGGTCTGCTTTCGACGTTGTCGCAGAATGTTCTACAAGATTTGGTGTCGTATAACGGCATTCACTTTCGTCACCTACCACAAAAGCATTCGTTAAAACATCCGAATACACAAATAAAAGTCTACATATATTCAAGTATCTATATCAAAGTATGCTAGTGGTTTGAGTATCAAAATTATTAACACTTATGCCCACTTTCATCAAAATTCTTAATTCAAATTAAGCTGTAATCGCTTGACCCAAAACTTCGATCAAATACATACCTATTAGCTTAAATTAATTTTTAAGCTTTTTATTAAAAAAAACTGAGCTGCTATTTACATCATTGTATGTATCTGGGGAAGGTAATTGCATCTGGATGTCTTCATTTTGATCAGAAAAAACTGTACCAAAATTTAAATTGCGGTCATATGCCCCAAGTCTGTAAAAAAACCCAATGTTATACCTCCCATTTTAGCCAGAGGTAATCCAACTCTATGAGATGTCTGACTGATGCAAAAATAAGATAGATTTGACTAATGAGCCCGCTAAAAGCTACTCAGATCCATGAACTATCAAAATGCATCTATCTGCCGAGAATGAGCATTCTAGCATAATAATAGAAAGAGTCCCTTTCTACTAGATCAGCTTTTCTGCCTTGCACAGATGCTCCTCTCCTTTTCAACTCTGTTTTCAGCTGTATTTCAGACCATGTTGAATACATTTTCCCCACTTATTTAATATTTTTAACAACAAAAAAACACGTTTAAAATTTGACAGCGCCAATATTTGGCTGTGGTTTGGGTCAAGCGTTTGCAGCGCCATCTATGTCGAGCCTTGCGTATACTTCTCCATTGTTTAAAGTCAAATAGAGGTAGAATAAGGCTTAAACACGATTAGCTTTTAAATTTGAATCAAAGAGTTTTGGACTATTTATCATAGTTGGGACTTATTGTATAAATAAATAATAATTAATAAATAAATACATATTTCCAACACTGACACCAATAGGGGTGATGACGGGGTACAGTAAACGAAATTCTATTTAGTCCGTCAGTTAGATGATCAAAAAATAATGGACACGTATTTTTTCTTTGGGCAATGAACCAAAAAATGACAAAGTTATAGCGCGTCCAAGTTTGGGAGTAGGGGCTCGTGACGTCACTTTTGAGTGAATTTTCACATAAAAGTGTACTCAAACGTGACGTCATGCGACTTTCCAAATCAATATATCTCTGCAATGTTTATATTATGTGAAAAAAGAAAAAATACGTGTCCAATATTTTTTGATAATCTACCTGATAAACGAAGACATAAAAATTAGTCATCATCCCTATTAGCCAAGTCACAAAGTTACTGCTACGTTATTACAACTGCAGGCTTGTATTGTGGAACACTAGTGTATAACGGATAAAATAAATGATATACTCATACATATTAAAGTATATTTGTGTAGAAATACATATTAAACATCCATGACTAGAGTACAAATGCTCGTATTCATCACACAAACATCTGCCTCCACCGGGACTCGAACCCGGGGGCCATTCGCCTAACGGAAATGCTTTGGAAAACGCTATCGCTTACCAATTTATTTTGTTATTTCTAGCCGCCTGAGGTTTTCAAATGCCTCGCGCTCTTTTTTTTGCATTGGTAATAACAATATTAAAGAAAATGAGCGTGAGATATTTGAAAACCTGCGGCGGTCAGAAATCTATCTATATATATAAAACTCAAAGGTGACCGACTGACATAGTGATCTATCAACGCACAGCCCAAACCACTGGACGGATCGGGCTGAAATTTGGCATGCAGGTAGATGTTATGACGTAGGCATCCGCTAAGAAAGGATTTTGATCAATTCTACCCCCAAGGGGATAAAATAAGGAATGAAAGTTTGTATGAAACTTTGTCAATTTTAAACCGATCGGGCTGACTTTGTATGCAGGTATAAGAAGAATCATAGATGAATGTCATTGTGTATAATGCAAGCCTGAGAACAAAATCTGTAGTCTACATTTCAGCTCTACGCATTTCCGTTAGGTGAATCCCCCCCCCCCCCCCCGGAACCTGTCTAGTGACGACACCTTGTATACGGCGCCGCGGCGTACAAACCACTCGGCTACAGATTTCGTCGTGGAGGCGTATAGCACTATGAAAAAGAACCCTCTACAATATCTAATATATAAAGTTCTCGTGTCGCGGTGTTTGTGGTTAAACTCCTCCGAAACGGCTTTCCCGATGCTCATGAAATTTTGTGTGCATATTGGGTAGGTCTGAGAATCGGACATCTATTTTTCATCCCCCTAAATGTTAAGGGTAATCCACCCCTATTTTTTTTTTTAATTTTAGATTTTTTTAAAAAAAATTTATGATACATCATACAAAAACACATACAACCCTAAATTTTCACCTTTCTACCACCAACCCCTATTTTTTTATGGCGGTACGAAGTTCGCTGAGACAGCTAGTTTACTTATAAAATTACTGTCACTAGTTTACTCAGTTATTTGTGGTTTTTATTTCACAATATTTATCACTAAAACAAAGCACAGGAAGAAAATTAAATATTAAACTATTATATACAATACATTAACAATACAAAATAATATATTATTTAAACACACAAAATAGATTAAAACTACTAAATAGACTAAATACTTATACCAAACTAAAAATAAAACTTTATTATGTAAAAAATCGACCCCAAATCGCTGCGCTCGCAGAGTAGGGTGCCCAAGAGGCTGGCGGCATTTCCCCGTTGAATGGCCAGGCTCAACCTTTGTCCGAAATGCGCCAGCCCTTGGATCACCTGAGGCGTCGATGAGGCGTGTGGAAATCTCCTTAAATAGCTAAAGTACTAGTTTACTTCGCAATGGATTCGCTATTACTTACTTTTAATCAGATAATGGTTTATCTGTGTGCCAAATGACAATGACAGATTTTGACCCACCATATACAGTAATATTAGATTTATGAAAAAATATATACGACTTTTTTTCTCGTACCGATTTAATGATTACTTTGTAAAAGCGGCGAAATAATTATTAAAATAATTTGTATCTACTGTTTCCGTTAGGAGAAGAACGAAAACATGGCATAAGGGTTTTGTTTCACGACAAACAATAAAATGCCAATCAAGTTTTCGAAAAATATCGTTCTCTTTTTTAATAATATGGATAAAATAAGCATTTCGGTTATAAATATAAATAATTTATGTTTATAAAAAAGTTTAACGATTATAGTACCTTGTATTTTTTATGCGCATACACATTATTATGTAGTAGTACCTATGTGAAACTAAACGTTATTTTGGATTGATATCCTTTTGATTGACATTTCCGTCAAACAAAAGGATTTGGACGACATTGTCGTTTGTGATTTGGAACCATGTTGAGATGCATAAATTGTTATTCATGTGTCGATAGAATACAAAGGCATGTCGTTTATACAATATCAGCTACAATACGGACGCTGTTGAGTAATTTATAAAAAATCCAAATTGCAGCTCGAGAAACGCATGATAATTGTACTCTTTGTAAGTATATTATTCAATAACCACAGCTTCTAGAGAATTTACACCTTTACTATTTTGATTCCTAATATTACAGCTATGGAATATCATTATTTATCGCATTCGTGTACACCATTTTTATCGGGTGGGTTAAACCTCTATAGAACTTCTGGCATTGTCCTTTTGTAAAATTTTGTAATGTATTTGTATATTGGTAGTATATATACCCATATATGTTGTGTGTATATATATGCATATAGAAAGAAAAATCAAAAAAAATCTAAAGAGCGTATTATTCGGCAACAAACTGACATTTCAGTTTGGCGAAATAAGTTGCTTTTTTGCATACCTGTATTTTTAATGAAAATAAATAAATAAAACAATAAATAATATTAAACTATCCGACTTACCGGTTTTTTTATCGCCTTTCGTGATCATGATTTTGGTTTGATCTCTGTTTTGCAACACGAAAAGATTGACCGGATCTCTTTGCATCATGTCCGCTATATACAGCAACGGGTTCGAGAGTACAGTTGGCTTTGTTTGCATCTCTTTTTTCGACAGAAACGCCTCGTTCTTTTGTATCGCTTCCTTCGTCAGTGTTATTTTGTTGTTCTCGTAAAATTCTTCAGACAGTCGCGGTTTCTTTGGCATCACTGCAAATTTAGTTTGTATCGCTTCATCCTTAGTCAACACTGCTTTCGTACCCATTATTGGTTGTTTAATAAGTGCTTGTTCTTTGGTCTGCTCTACGTCTTCTGTTAAATCTATGGCTTCCGTTGGGTTCGTTTCTTTGGTTAGCTTTGTTGTTTCCGCTGCTGCGTTTTTAAAGGTTTCGTTGTGTCCAACTGTGTTGTCAGCTCTTTTAGACGTCGTCGGAGTACTGTCCTCGACCTTTGCTTTGACAGGACTGATCGGTTTAATAGTGAAGTATTTTTTGAAGTCGTTCTTTTGCCTCATCCATTCCTTCAAAGCTTCATCCTGATCGTCTTCCGTCCGAGATTGACTAGTGCACTTGACGTCAATTTTATGTGTCGTTTCGTTTCTTTTATCTTTTTCTTCCGGTGCCTTCTTTTTATTTTTATTCCTAGGTTTTTTAAGCTTTGTTTTCTTGTCTTTGGTGTTGGCTTGAAATGTTGTCGGTGGTTTAGTTTTCCTTTCGCTTGATTTCTTTGGTTTCGTTTCGTCGATGACTAGTCGAGTGGTTTCTTCTTCTGACGACACGACAGCAGACTCTGTCGTACCAAACTCGATATCACCTGTAAACGGAGTATTTTTTTAAAAATAGAAAAACCACAATGTAAGTGAAATGATAATGACCGTGATAAAGATTTATTTGACAGAAACAAAGTTGGTGTAAATGGTCTTCTTAAAAAAACATACTTATAATAGGGATGATGACTATTTGTTTTTCTTCGTTTATATATAGATGCTTGTGTGATGAATACGAGCATTTGTACCTCCAGTCATGGATGTATATGTATTCTATCCGTTAACCTAGTATCCCATAACACAAGCCTTTCAGTGCTTACTTTGGGGCTAGGCTAATTGGTTTGTGTTATAAAAAAAAATGACTGGAGTACAAATGCTCGTTTTCATTCATCACACAAACATCTGCCCACACCGGGATTCGAACCCGGGACCTCTCGAGTGGGCGACACCATTAAACACAGAGTACAAACGACTCAGCCAAGGAGATCGTCAATGGTCAGTGAACAAGTGTTATACATGTATAAACCATGACCTTTATTGACATAAATAAAGGACATGGTAAAGTTTTGTATGAGCGACTGCCCTGGCAATGTATAAATACTGTACTTAGTAATATATAATGGTAAATGGCTGAATAATTATAATTTCTATGAAAAAGACTCAAGAACTTTAAATAAAGTCACAATCTTGAAAATTATGAGTTCCCAATAGGGATGATGACTAATTTTTTTTTCTTCTTTTATCAGGTAGATAATCAAAAAGTATTGGACACGTATTTTTTCTTTTTTCACATAATATAAAGATTGCAGAGATATATTGATTTGAAAAGTCGCATGACGTCACGTTTGAGTACACTTATAAGGGAAAATTCACTCAAAAGTGACGTCACGAGCCCCTACTCCCAAACTTTGACGCGCTATAACTTTGTCATTTTTTGGTTGATTGCCCAAAGAAAAAATACGTGTCCATTATTTTTTGATCATCTAACTGACGGACTAAATAGAATTTCGTTTACTGCCCTCGTCATCACCCCTATTATTAACAGTCATCAATTTCGCATTTTCTTAGAATCTTTCTTCTCATTCCTCTGATTATCTTCACAAAAAGTTTTTTTTAAAGCAAAAATAAATACAAATAATTGTTACCGTCGGCCTGACAGGAAATCTGTGAACTTTTATTTTATCCATTTGCAAAAATTAAAGGATTAATTATCATACAGCCTTGTATCAAGCCTGATCAGAATAATAAAATCTATTATTTTAGGCCTTCAGTGATTTGTTATAATAAAAATTAGGGCCAAATACGTCATAGTTTGAAGGAGTTTAGAAATAATATTGTTTATTTCGATATACTTACACAAATATTTTTTGTGTACATTTATTTTGTAAAACGGAACATTTTGCTTTTGAAACGGACATGAAGTCAATTTGTATATACCTCTAATATATTTGATAATTTCATTTCAAGTTGTATCAGAATAATAAACAGGTAATAATTAATAAAAAAATATTGTAAAGTTACGGGCTAGTGCGAAATATTTATACACGTTAAGGCCAGTTTCTTAGCCATGTCCTTTAAAGTTTAACTCACCATCACTACTCGCCTGGCTTCTATCGGACTGTTTGAGCTGATACTTATACTGGACCTGAAAAATTATATATTATTAGAAGCTTCCAAAACATTTTCACCCCCTCAAAAGATTTTTAACCGACAATGATTTCTAGGATAAAACCTATACAGGGTGTCCCACGGGTTTCTCACACGGAGGGAAAGTATATTAAATCTAAAGAAAAGTTAACTAGAAAAAAAAACCCACGTGGACCAGGCAGCGGACGGGACTCGAACCCGCACCCTTCGCAATCCGGGCGAATGCACTGACCATTATTCTACCACGGCCCTATTCGCCGCGTCGAAATTTTCCTAGCCTTAAGCTGCAAGGCAGCGCCATCTCTTCGCATTGTAGGTAACTCACAATGTCAAATGAAAACTTTTTCAAGTATTAAACATTTTGAAAGAAGAAATAGCAATTATAGTTATGTTTTTGAAGTTATACTTCTTTAGGCGCGTTATGAAAAAATGATGAGAGTGAAATTTTAAGATGCGCGCGCAGCACTGTACATAACACAAAATTTTAACAGCATGAAGTTGGTCGCTTTAGCGACCAACTTCATGCGTTACTTTTGTGTTTACCGCACTAAGAAAATCTACCAACAAAATAGAAATAGAATCTCTATTTAGTGGGTGCTAACGACTGCATTGTGAAGGCCTATCAAAAGTATTTATTAATCTGGAACAATGGAACCAAAGCGCGATTCAGGAGACTACAGCGCCATCTCTTGACCATTGGTGTAATAGAACCAAAAACCACATCTTTATTTTTTGTAATAAAGTAACAGTTATAGGTATTCATATTTATAATATCAAAAGTATTTATTAATCTGGAACAACGGAACCAAAGCGCGATTCAGGAGACTACAGCGCCATCTCTTGACCATTGGTGTAGTAGAACCAAAAACCACATCTTTATTTTTTGTAATAAAGTAACAGTTATAGGTATTCATATTTATAAAATTTATCCACATGTTTCTAGTTTGTATATTCGGAATACGTGTTTGAGTTTCATACAAGTGCAAATCACATATGTTCTAATAAATTATATTCAGTAGCGATTTTAATTGAATATTTTGATTATTTATTTATTTTTTCAAATTAAAACTGAACTTTATTGATTGTGTCCTTTTCCAGACTTTTTATTAATTTATTGTAATTAATTATTTGCATGCAATTAAAAACTAATTTTAAACGATGCCAAAGAAGGATAACTTCTCACGCGCCTACATAAGTACACGCACCCATTTTTTTTCAAATTTCACGAGTTTGATTCCCAATTGTACCAGGCAATTTTAAAAAAACTATGATATCAGTTCTAGTTATTATTAAAAACTAGCTGTGCCCGCGGTGTTACCCGCGGTTTATTAGCGATATTTTCCCGTAGTAAAACGTAGCCTCTGTGTTTTTCCAGGGTATCAGCTAACTCCATAACAAAATTTTATTAAAATCGCTCCAGCCGTTTGAACGTGAAAAAGTAACAAACTGAAACTTTCACACACTAACAAACTTTCGCCTTCATTATATTAGTGTGATAAAATGATGTCTTCTTTCAGTAAAATATCCTATCTCCAATATTGAATATACATTCCCTCCGTGTGACAAACCCGTGGGACACCCTATATATCTTCTATCTACTATATATATAAAACTCAAAGGTGACTGACTGACAGACATAGTGATCTATTAACGCACATCCCAAACCACTGGACGGATCGGGCTGAAATTTGGCACGCAGGTAGATGTTATGACGTAGGCATCCGCTAAGAAAGGATTTTGATCAATTCTACCCCCAAGGGGATAAAATAGGGAATGAAAGTTTGTATGAAACTTTGTCAATTTTAAACCGATCGGGCTGAGACTTTGCATGCAGGTATAAGAAGGTATAAGAAGTTCGCAAAACTACGGCGGGAGACCTTGTACTGAGAAGAACCGGCAAGAAACTCAGCAAGGGCTGCTTTTTTCTCCCTGTATTGTTATATACAGAGTCGTCAAGTTGAAAAATGACTTCAGAGATACGTCTGAAGTCACCTTCCATTACATCATTTAGAATATAGATATATAGTTACAATAAATTTTATATTTAGTATAAAGGAAGCAGCATTAGATGAAGAGGTCGATGGCGCAAGTGGTTAGCGCGTTCGGCTGCGATCGTTGAATTTAAGCAACTTTCGCAGTGGTCGGTCATTGGATGGGTGACCAAAAACTACTATCTCGAGCTCCTTCGTGCTTCGGAAGGCACGTTAAGCCGTTGGTCCCGGCTGCATCTGCAGTCGTTAGCACCCACCAATCCGCACTGGGCCCGCATGGTGGGTCAAGGCCCAATCTCGCTATTCCATACATAGGGAAGGCCTGTGCCCCAGCAGTGGGGACATTAATAGGCTGACGATGATGATGATGATAGGAAGCGGCATTAGATAGGGTTGATACGCACCGTCAGCGCTTGTAGCGCCTGCCTCAGCCTGTTCCTCGATCGCTGCATGTTGGCCACAGAGGGGGGGGACTCGCGCACTAGCCACGCGCAACACGAACTCAGCTTTATCTTCCTATATACGACAACGGTAATAAATAAATAGTTTATATAACTAGAAAAAATTCCACGCGGACCAGGCAGCAGACGGGACTCGAACCCGCACCCTTCGCAATCCGGGCGAATGCACTGACCAATTATGCTTCCGCGGCCCCCACGGAATGCAAACAAATGCGAAGAGATGGCACTGCCTTGCAGCTTAAGAATGGCTAGAAGAATTTCGACACGGTCCGTGAGGGCCACGGTAGCATAATTGGTCAGTGCATTCACCCGGATTGCGAAGGGTGCGGGTTCGAGTCCCGTCTGCTGCCTGGTCCCGTGGTTTTTTTTCTAGTTATATTTTCTTTAGATTTAAACATCAAGCAGTTACATGCTGTAAAATAATAAAAAATGTAACTAAATAGATATTTCCAACCCTCCCACCAATTGAGGCCATGAGAACCGTAGTGGCCTAACTCATTTTTAACCATAGTGGCCTACCTTACTTAAGCCAGTATGGCCAACGATATTAAATACCCTAGATACACCGACACAAACAAAATCGTGGCCGAAACCTGTCCAAATGGTACATAGGACGATCTACGGAGCTCCGTAAGATGATCGCGTAGTCAAAAACAATATAAGGCATTATTTAAACATGGAAAGTCACCTTTAATGCCTACGTTATGAGGTCTTAATTAAAACGCATGCGTCAAAGAGTTGTGACAGTTCGAAATGCAAGTTCGTAAAATTTTACGACTTATTGCTGTATGCGGAACAATACAGACCTTATTTCTTTGACTCTAAGCGCAATTTTGAATGCGCTGTTAGCAATACAACAGGTACGGGCCGCGAGGAAAAGAGATGGCTGTATAACCGACCATGCATTTGAATATCACAAATATTTATATTGAATCAGTTTATAGTACGTATTAGAACAAAATTTGCTTCAAATGCATTAAATTAACTAACATTGATTAGATACCTGTCGAAGAAACGATACTTCACATACCATAAATATTTTTTTCGCATTTTTGCACGGAGCTCCGCGGCAACTTGACTTTTCAACGGTCCGCGCGTGACTGTGAACTAAGAAGTGCTTGAGTGGTGTTCAAGCACTTCTTGATTGGGACACATTTTGAGCGCACGTGGTGTATCTAGGGTATATATAATATTGTTCGCGCCCGTATAAACCCCACATATACATACATATAACAGAAAAGGAATATTACAAATCATAGCGAAGACTTGCACTTATATAACGGGTGGCGCCATCTATTGGATTATACACTGTAGCGCCTAGCACAAACGTCATTGGATGTCGCCCGCAGATGGCAGATGTCGCTCGTGTTCGTGTGTTCGGCTGTTATTACCGACTATAAGGTAATGACTTGCTAAATTCATTCTCTCAAGAAAACTGTTACTTCTAAGTTGTATCTATTTTAACATAAAGCGAAATTACTAAAAACACCCGAGTTTTTATTGAAGAAGACTCCAATTCTATGCCCAAACAAATATCGTTGAGTATGTCACCTAAAATTTAGATCATAGACTAAAAACCGTAACAGTAATTATGCTGCCATCTCAGTAAATATGCTGAATATACGTTGTATCACTTTTAAACCACTCTGGTTCAATTAAAATGATCAATTTGAACTGGAAAAAATCCTAAACTCAATATTGTAAGAAATGAGTTAGGCCACTATGATTCTCATGGCCTCAATTAGCCTAGCCCCAAAGCCCCTAGCCAAGGCTTGTGTTATGGGATTATAGGGTAACAGATAGAATACATATACATAAGTATCCAATAAATAAAATTCTCGTGTCGCGGTGTTTGTGGTTAAACTCCTCCGAAACGGCTTTCCCGATTCTCATGAAATTTTGTGTGCATATTGGGTAGGTCTGAGAATCGGACAACATCTATTTTTCATCCCCCTAAATTTTTTTTTTCAATTTTAGATATATTTTTTTTTAAATTTTTTTATGATACATCATACAAAAATACATACAACCTTAAATTTTCACCCTTCTACCACCAACCCCTGTTTTTTATGGCGGTACGAAGTTCGCTGGGACAGCTAGTATTTATATAGAAATACATATTAAACATCCATGGCTGCTAAGCCCCTAAGAGGTTGTTGGTGTCTTAAAATTAACCCTGTATATACATATGAGTGATACGTGCGCTGCTCCATTCCCCAATGCCTTCATCATCACCATCAGCCTATTAATGTACCCACTGCTGGGGCACAGGCCTTCCCTATGGATGGCATAGGGAGATTAGTCCATGAACCACCACGCGGGCCCATTGGCGGGTGCTAACGACTGCAGATGCAGCCGGGACCAACGGCTTAACGTGCCTTCCGAAGCACGGAGGAACTCGAGATGGAAGATTTTTGGTCACCCATCCAATGACCGACCACTGCGAAAGTTGCTTAACTTCAACGATCGCAGCCGAATGCGCTAACCACCCGCGCCATCGGGCTCCTCGCTTTATGCCTTATGCACCGCCTAATGTTAGGTTTTTAAGAAAAGAAGTTTCACCTCAGACGTGTGCTCCGTGCAAACAATTTTTTTTTCCTAGCGAGTGTATGATACTATGTTACATATTTATTGACATTATATTTTTTGACGACCTCCGTGGCCGAGTGGTTTGTACGCCGAGTTTTATGGTGTCGGCGACTCGAGAGGTCCCGTGTTCGAATCCCGGTGGGGGCAGATGTTTATTTGATGAATACGAGCATTTGTACTCCAGTCATGTATGTTTAATATGTATTTCCATATAAATATACTTATATATGTATTCTATCCGTTACCCTAGTATCCCATAACACAAGTCTTATAGTGCTTACTTTGGGGCTAGGCTAATCGGTGTTGAAAATATATATATATATATACAGGCAAATCCTAATGTAACGACATCGTTTATAACGACGTGTCGGTTATTACGACCAATTAGCAAAGTCCCGACCGAAACCCTATATAAATCCTTAAGGAAACAAACCGCCTATAACAACACCGGATATACCGAAATACCGCTTAAAAGAAAGAAAGAAAGAAAATACATTTATTTTGACACAAACAACGAGACAGTAATACAAGATTTTGAGAACAAAAAAATACAAGAAAAAGCAAAATTATCGTAAACAAAGAACAAAAGTAACACACACTAATAATAACTGTTACAACGGTGATTTATTCTGTTATTATCTCGCGGCTGCGCCAAAACAGGTTGTCTGTCAATTTAGCATGTTGTCAGGTTTGTAGGACCTGACGCTGATTTTCAATTGACACCTATGTTTCTCTTGACAACTGATTCTCGGAAAAAAAAGAAATATAAGAATAAAAAAAAATTAAAAAAAATCAGAAACACGCTCGTAAAATTATTTAGAAACATAATTAATTAATACAAATTATCATTATCATTTATATCACATTCAATATTATCATACATAAATTAGATACGTGTATATACATTTAATATTGACAGACACGCACTAGGAACAAAAAAAAATATTTAAATATATTTATACAGCAACCAAACAACACAATACGTAAAATCACAGAAAAAATATATGTATATATATATACACACACACACCCTTACACAAACACACACACCCATCTTTATATATATAATTCTTCTGTGAGTGTGTATGTCACTGAACTTCTCTTAAACGACTGGACCGATTTTGATGAAATTTTTTGTGTGTGTTCAAGGGGATCTGAGAATGGTTTAGATTCACAATTTTGTCCGCTGGACAATGTTTTTTTAATTAATTTTTAATTTATTAGTAGTTGTTGATTTTGGAATGTTTTACATTGGATCCGACAGACGGCGCTATAACATTTGAATAATAATTTTCATCAAAATGGTCCAGAATGTTTTAGCTTATTAAAAAAAGTTTGAAATTTTCAAATTAAAGACGTGTAGACAGGACAACGTCTGTCGGGTCCGCTAGTATATCTATATAAATGAGGAATCACCGCGATATATGCCCATTACCCGCTGCGCATCAAGAAGATATTGCTTTAATCGATTTTTAAAATAAAACAACTTATAACCAATGAATATTGGTGAAGTTCATATCGATATTCTTCGGTTATAACGACTAAACGTTTTACTTGTTGCAGCAAAACAAAATATACTGTAGGTACCGAGTAACTGCGGGTTACTTTGACCTAAAATGTGCACTTTTTTCAAATAAAATTGTAGCTTCTCTTTGTGATGAATATGTCACGTTTATATCTTTCCATTGTGAACTTTAAAGTATAAGTTACAAAGTTATCATACGAAAATAGTATGGCTAAAGACTTTGGACTTTGAGAAAACAGAGTTTATTAAAAATTTAACACATAATATCCGATTTTTATATAGGTATATAAATCTATGTATAATAAAAAACAATTTTATTTTATAAGTATTAAGAAACTTACAAAATACAGTATATATATGCCTTATATGCACAAACACACATACACACATACACGCGCACACACACACACACATGCACAAACACTCCGCTTAATTAAATTGTTTAAATTGTATTTTCATGTAATTAAGATGTGCTTTGATTAGCGTGAGTTGCACAACTTGTTATAATGTAAATTTCCATGTCAGTTTATGGTACATTCTTAGTAAAATTTCACTTTAACTAGCTCTGTGGTGTAACTCCCGCTTTATTATATTTAATTCCTTGTCTTAATCTTAATATAGTTAATGACCTTACCATAATGTAACGTATGCTATGGAAGAGTGGTTCTTTTTGGTACAGGTGTCTTTGCACTTAAAAAAAAGAGCCTACCTTTATTTATGTAACCAAATGTATGGTAAAGTAATAATAAATCATTTTCATTTTTTCATTTTCAGGATTTTTTTTTTTTTAATTTAGGGCCAAAGTTGGCCTTTAAGAGGGTTACTTTATTAGCTCGTTGAGTTTTCTCTGTGAAAAAAACTCATTTTAAGCCATGTTGGGGTTAAGTTACCCTTATAACAGATCACCATTAGCATACTGAATACACAAATGGATGTTTTTA